GAGCCATATCCCCAGCTTTATTTATGTATTTATTTATTTATTTTAATTTTGGCGGGGTTTCTGCTAAGTTGCTTAGAGTGAGTTGCTGAGACTGGCTTTGAATTTGTGATCCTCCTGCCTCAGCATGCTGGGCACTCTGGGATTGCAGAAACACACCATCATGCCTGGCCATCTTTTAGCATTTTAGAAGCATTGCACATTAAGCTTTGTTCCTTTGAAGTTCTTTTGTAATAAATCTAGAGGTTTCTAACTTAGAATATTCCTAATTCTGTCAATTGGAAAAGGTAATGGGGTAGTTACCCCATTTTAAAGTAATAGCTTTGTGGATCTATTATTCACATACCATCCATCTCCTGGAAGAGGACAACTGAATGGTTTTTAGTATGGTCCCATGTTGTACAACCATTACTATAAATTTTTAAAAATATTTCATCATCCTATATCCATATTTTTTAATGCTTAAGCCTAACTTTCTTGATATAGCTTACACGGTTATTATCAAAGATTTTTTTTATTCCATCTACAATTATATCAGATAAAGCTATCAGGTATTAAGCTATGCTTGAGAATTACATTTTTTTAAGGGAACAATAAATTAATAAGAAAACTCTGTGTGTTGCATCCAGTCTTCCGAATGAGAATGAATGCAGTGGGGCTGCACATCTTTGCTTCCTCCTCATTGATCTCCATAATTTCTGTGCTAATGATTGGTGACCCATGAAGGATGACATGTTTTGGTGAATTATTTTGAACTGAGCACTTGCTAAACTAATACTTTTGCTCAGTGGTTAGGTGTGTCTTAGTCTGCTTGAAATGGAAGAAGTTAATTCAGATAACTTTTTCTATGGATGTGTGATCCTCTTTCTGTACTTACTCAAATGAGGCTGCTGTGCAATCCTTTTGAAATAGGCATCCTTAATAAGTGGTTTTTCTAAGGACTGCCATTAATATAGCCTCATTGTGCTGTTTAGATGACACTTTACTTAAAGTAGGCTGTAGTCCTGTCTGGGCTTTGGGAGTTTGGCATTGAGACTTGGGGCTGTAAAATTGCAACTCACCCAAGGAAGGCAAGGCTCTCATTTACTCCTGGGTCATTTTTAGTAAGAGGAGATGCTAGCTGTTCAGTTTCTTCCTACTGCCATGGCTTCCAGGAGTTAGAACCTGGTAGGAATCCCAGGAAAGCAGTGATATATTAATAAATCCAATTACCGCCAACTACAGTTCTTGTTTTTAGAGTTACTACTCTTTAGGCTTTCAGAACTTCTTTCCCTCAGACACCCATCTCCTCTATCATGGTGGAGTTACACCCACTGACCACCCAGCAATAGCACACCCAGGCTCTGGGCTCCAGGAAGACATTCATTTAATAGTTAATGCATTCCCCTGGGATCCTTTGGAATTTGCTACTTTGTTTATTTAATCCTCTTCAAATAAGAGTTTGCATACTTCTCACTGCCAGGCTTAAAAAGAAGAAGAAGAAAACCAAAGACAAACACATTAAAAAACAAAACAAAACAAAACCAAAAAAACCCTAACAAAACACCTATGAAACCCCATGACCTCAAACAAAAATCTTACCCACTATTGCCCAAGACCTCATGCTCTGTTAACGAAGGAATGTTTTAGATAGTTCTGCCTTGGTGGGCAACATAGTTTTGTGGGTTATCCCAGCATGGCTTCTCCTTTCTCCTCTTCCCACTACACTGATTTGGTCTCTTTCCTTGGTTATTTCCAGAAGGTGGCAGGACAATTTCCATTTTCTTAAAACAGTTGGTATAGAAACCATGGGCCAGTGATAGTTTGGGAATATCTGATTATCATTTTTTTCTGTTGTTATTCACTAAAAGGTGATTTGTTTTGACCTAAGAAAACCGTCTTGATTTTGGTACATAAACCAGGTCCACTTTGACTGGTGTGTTCCCTGTTCTATCAACGTCTATTTTAGGTTTTCTAACTCCAGTACACAAAGATTCATCCAGGGAAATTCCTGGTCCTTGCCTCTTGAGATTCAGTTTCTATAGGATAGGGATTAAGGTTTTGCATTAGCAAATTGTTCCCAGGTCCTTCTGCTGCAGATGAACTGGGAGCTGTTTGAGTTTGCCTTGGAGTTTGCCCTTGCTCTGCAGGTACCAGCCCAGAATTCTCTGAGTGTAAATGGTCGGCAATTAAACGTGTTAATTACAGTGTGTACAGTTTCCAAGGCAACATGTATTCTGTCACTTCTTCCAGGCTGGGAAGATTGAAAGGGACCATGGAGAGGTCTCAGTAACTGTGGCCTCCAGATGAATGCCATCGAAGTGCTTTATGATAACTGGGTTTTCATGCCATTCATCCAAGAGCTCTGCTTAACGGCAGCGGCAATAATGAAAGTGAATACATTAGAAGCCAGAGAGTTGCTGGGTGACTTCTGGGAGGTAACAACAAGGACACAGGCAAGGATGAGTACAGCTATTCAGTTGCTTGCATTTTCTGCCTTCTACCTTTTCAAATCAGTTTTGTCCAGAATGATCAGAATGTAGAGAAACATGAGATGACCTTGAAAGGCTTTACAAAAAAATAATAACAACTAGATTTTTTTTAAACATTTGTCTACCATTCTTTAGTTTGCAACCGGAATACCACTGTTTAAATTTCACTTGTTTTCACTTTTGGTCAGGTACAACTTGAAGGAATCATTTGTTAAGTACTTACTATGTGATAGGAACTCTCACATGGATTGTCTTGCCGTTTTTGACCTAAATGCACTTTGATTATTTTTAAATCTATATGCAAAGACTCCATGATTTACACATTTCTAGATTTAATAAAGGAGATAAATTATGTGTCATATTTTACCATTGTCATGGTTCAGATGTGAGGTGTCCCCTAAAACCTCCCCCAATGCAGGAATATTCATCGATGAATGAAATGATTGGATCTTGAAAGCTGTAACATAAGTGATCCATTTTAGTTTGATGAACTGTGTGCTAATCCTAGGCCACTGGGGTGTGGTTGGAGGAGGTGGGCCACTGGAGGTGGGCCCTGGAAGGGTTCAACTTCTCTGTGACTCTTCCCCCATCTCTCTGCTTCCTGGCTTCCATGAGGTGAGCACCTTTCCTTAGCAGTGCTCTTATGCCATGATATTCTGTCTCACCTTGGGGGCCCAGAGCATTGGAGCCAGTCATCTATGGACTGAGACTTCTGAAACCATGAGCCCCCAATAAACCTTTCTTCATCTGCATTGTTCTTGCCAGGTATTTTGGTCACAGCAACCCAAAGCTGACTAATACACCCATCTTTTAGGATCTGGCTTTTTGGTTTTGGTCATAAAGCTAAATAGAGCAGTAGAAAAGCATGCAGTCATACTTTGGGATTTGATCCTGAATTCCATCATAAACAGGCTCAGTGATTGACTGCAGACAAGCGTCCTGACTTCTTGGAGGCTTTTCTACTGGAAAATGAAGATCTTGGGCTAGATGAGTGGTCTTCACTTTTGAAGGGTGACAAGGACCTTGCAGAATCCAATAAAAACTAGGAACCTTCTTCACTGAAAAAAAAATCACATATATACTTACTTGAAAAAGAGAACATTTAGTTTCCAGAAGACCACAGACTTCCCCTAAATGAAGAAATTGCGTAAGACTCTTCCAGCACCAACTCAAAATTGCTGGGCCCCATAAGGACCTGGCGAGTCTTGCACCGTTTAGAGTGGTCCCCTGAGGAATGAGTTATTCGATGAGGGAGGTTTTGTTTTTCCTGGCATTTTTTGCTAACTGCTCTGTGCATTTAAGAGGGCTTGGGGGTGGGGGAAGGAGGGGCAAGCTCTGGAAAAATAAATAGGGAGTGAATGGCATCTGGAATGTGAACTGTTTTCCTTATCATTTTTTGCTATTGTCGCTCTTCAAAGGGAAGTAGATGGTATCCTTGCAAAATGATGGTTGTGTGGAGGAATTACTTGTAAGGAATAAATACTTGTAGTAGTCCATTTTTTGTTACTATGATGAAATATCTGCAGTTAGGTAACTTTGTAAAGCAAAGAGGTTTATTAGCTCACAGTTTGGGAGGTTCAAGGGTTTGGCATTGGCATCAGCTCAGCTCTAGTGGATGGCACAACTATGGTGGGAGTGTGTGTGTGGAAGTAAGAGGTCCCCTTGCCAGATGGGAAGCCAGAGATGCAAGGATCAGGATCGGGTTTTTAAAAAGTCACTCCAGGAGAACTGCATTCCCTTCTGAAGATGTGTCCTAAGGATCTCCCAGTAGACCTTACCTCATTCCCTCACCTCCCAAATCACCATGCTGAGGATCAAGCTTCCAACACCGAAACCCCAGTGGACAAACTACATCCAAACCATAGCAGTACCCATAGAGCAATTTTTACAGTGATAGTTAAGCAGGAACTTAAACTTGTTCCATTTTAATGTGTGGGAACTAACAGGTGAAATATAAAAATGTATAATTCATAGAAACAGAAAATGGAATGGTGGTCACCAGGGGATGGTGGGGGGAATTGGGATATGTTAATCAAAGGGTACATCATTTCAGTTTGTCAAGAGGAATAAGTTTGAGATTATTGTATAACATAGTGACTGTTGTTAGTAACATTGTATTGTGTACATTGTTGCAATTTGCTAAGAAAGTAGCTTTCAAGTGTTTTCACTCCAGTTAATAATATACATGTGAGGTTAATTAGCTGAAGTTACCTGTTCCACAGTATATACGTATTTCACAGTGCCATATCCTATATCTCATGTATGTACAGTTTTTGTCAGTTAAAATAAGAAAAAAAATAAAGTTTGGGTCATTTTAAAAATGTCAGAAGTGTCTAGGTTGTGGAAATAACCTGTATTCTTTACTGCTCCCAGTGTTGACTCCAACCATCCTCTGACATGGTCAGAGTTCTGACCCTGTCTCCTGCCCTTGGCCCAACGTTGTAATTCAATCAGAATAGAAAATGTGTAGTTTATTTGGAAATCTTCATTCATTCATTCATTCATTCATTCATTCATTCATTCATTCTCTGCTTAGGTGTTGAAAAATCTCCCAGGACTTTGGAAAGCTGAATGGACTAAACATGAAGAGTTTGAAAGCCAAGTTCAGGAAGAGTGATGTAAGTACGCTGTGACTCATGGTCTGGCTGCTCTGGCTCTGTTCCGTGGGGCTACAGAGACAGCCCCCACTCCTGCCCTGATAAGGTGCTGGGTTAATAAACTACAGACACCAGAAGCACTTTGGGCCCCAGCTCAGGGTGGCTTCTATGAATGGCATGCTTAACGTTCCTTGTTCTTTATGTGTATTGATTTCAAAATTAACTTTAAAAAGTTGGCCTAGGTCTTATAGAGGAAAGGAACAGTTGAACTAAACATCTTAAAGAACCAGGAAAAACCCTTAGCATTTCTAAAGTTGCCTAATTCCTGATTCACAATATCATTTTTAAAAGCAACTCTTCTGAGGGTGGTTAAGGAATTACATATTAGCATGTATCATCTTTGACCTTAAGTTGTTTAACTTTGTCAAGGCTTTTGTCTTAAAACAACAAAATGCATTGCTGCCCTTACCTTCACTCCCCCTGAATTCCTGGGCTTCTTATTCATTTGTTATTCATCATAAAATACTTTAGATTGGAGGAACCAGTTGTGATGTCAGAATTATGAAACAAAGTCTCCCATAGGGGAAAATGGAGAAAAATAACACAACAGAAGGTTTATACACAGTGACATTTCAACAAAAGGTTGCCTTATAAACTCCACTGGGATTTCTATCTTATGCTAACTGCATTCCAGATGCTTCCAGCAGGATTGTTGAATGGGAGGAATTTATGGAAGGGTATTAGGGGGAAGCCCAGATATATCACCCTTGAAATATGCATGCCCAGATAGTATTTAAAATTAGGTAATTAAAGTGAACCTGGATTTTATTGCTTTGCCATGAATTCTATTATGAAAGCTTGGCACAACTGCATTTTTGCAATAAGTAGAGGCTGTGTTTTTTACAACTAGCATGTCACATGCATACCTACTTTTGGCTAAAGCTTATCTGCCAAGGCTGTGTTAGTGATATGGAACTTACTGCTCTGCTCTGATATGGCCCAGACCAGATAGGATGCTTTGGGGGTGATGGCAAAATATTGTCTCACTTAAAGAAGGAGCTAGATCAACTCTTAGGAAAAAGTTGATCTTATCTTCTCGTTCTTAAGGTCAATTAATTGAAACTCAGGAAATGGGAAATGACTTGGCCAAAGCTGTGTAACTAGCCATTGACCACAGGGAGAGCCTCAGTAGTCTGACTTCCTTAGATCTGATGATCTGAAACCTCCTTTGACTTGATAATCTGCTGGCCATAGGATACCAAGCCTGCATATCTACTTTGGCTTTCAATTAAGAAGGGAAAAGCAATTAAGTGGACAACATTGCCCAGTTCAGCAGGTATGAGTTTGTCCATTGTATGATCAGGTTAGTAAGTGTCTTTTTCCATTGCAAAAAGAATTTGGGTAGCTTCCATTTATATAAGTGGAGATTATTTTAGCAAAGTTTTGTTGGATTACAGTTCCATGATATATGAACATGGGTAGGGGGAAGTGATAGGCACATAAACTTTCAGTTTAAAAATTTTTCAAGCTTGTGGCATTAGGGAGGGTGTTGCTGGAATCTAGTTTTTAAATAAAAACTGAAATAGTTCCATGATTTTAAAAAAAAATCATAGCAATAACACTAGTGAAAGCTTCTGGGATTTGGCAGCAGAGAAGGCCATGATTTTGGCAGTGAATGCTAAGAGAGGAAATGTTCGAAGAGCAACCCTGGGGGAGGAGAGCAAAGGAAATTGGTCTAATGGAGCCAGACAAATCCACATGGCTTCCCAAATACATCCCAAATTGTTTCTCCAAGCTGCGCCACTGCATAGCTAAATGGACTAAATAAAAATAAAAATTAACAAGGAAAGGAAACCATTCCAAATCCCCATTTGTTAACCAGCCATATGATAATAACAATGATAAACAGCTAGCCATGATGGAGTAGTTACTATAATAGCAGGTGCCAGTCCAGGTTCTTTACATGAAATTAATTCACTTATTCTTGCCGTAAGTTTTGTGTGGTAGGTTTTATTATTAAGCTCATTTTGCAGATGGAGACACTGAGGCCTGGGGAGATGCAGTCATGTGTCCCTGTTCTTAGAGCTCTAAGTTGTAGAACCAGTTTTTGTGCCAAGGTCTTTGGATCCCTTGGCCCATGTTTCCTGGGAAAAGAAGTTAGGGATGGAGATTCTGTTTTATGAAACAGAACTATCTAGGTAGCAGCTAGACAAAGTGACTTAGAATTTGAATTTAAGTTTGCAGCCTTGGCAGAGTCTCATATTCTTCTAACCTTGGGTTGCTCACCTGAAATTGGAGGAAATCCCAGCATCAGCCTCTCAAGGTGAACTATTAATTATTTTTAATAATTCTTAATTATGGTAAATGTTAAATGCACTAATGGATGTGGAGCACACATCTCAGGGCCTGGTGCTCAGGAGGTGCCTGGAAAATACTTATTCTTTTCTCCTGATGAAAACGCAAACAAGATTAAAAGGTTCATAGGATCCAGAGGGCAGAATAATCTGGTAAGAATTACTTTCTCTAAGGAGGGAAACGGAGGGTGAGGAGAGAATGAGTGAGGGAAGCTCACTTTGCTTTCTTTTCAGGCTGAGGTTTTTGGTTTATGTACACACACATATAGATGTGTATTACTTGTTGCAAGAAAAACAAGTTTACAAATGATTACATTTAGTTAACTGAGCCAAACTCTATAATCTTCTTTACACGAAGCAAGTGGAGTGGTCTCTTTTAATCTCCAAAATCATGAGCCACCCAACTTTCCTGTTTGTCTTTGTTTGAGAAAGAAAGGGAAAGAAAAAGTTCTTTGTATTGCTGGGGGTGGGCAGATGAGGATAGCAAGATCAGGTTCACGCTTACATAAATAGATGACAGGTGACCCACTGCCATGATCATGTTTCAGCCAGTCTGTGTCTGGGAGGTCTGCAGCCAGATCAGTTTGTGGCCATTGAGTACAAAATCCTAGAGTGGAAAAAAAAAAAAAATGGACAAGAGTGGCCCAAAGGAGCACTCTGTGGATGTCCTTCAGGTCACTGCTACTTCAGGATCATTGTCCAGGTAGATTTAATCAGAATGTCTTTCTGGAACACTTTGGCTCACATCCAGGGAAGGTTTATGTGAGTTAATAGGGGACTGAGCCTGATTCTACAGGCTGTGATTAGACAAGTCATCGTCTGTTTGTTTTGATTCCTAAATATATTGGGGACCCCAGAGATAAGTCACAGAATCTAAAAGACTTTAGGAGTTTCTGTGGTGGATGACATTTTAAAGTTTGCATTTATCACTGTGTTTTGAGAATCCTCACACTTGGGTTTCATACAAAGAGAGAAGTTCAAGGTATAGCTCTTGCCTTTAAGGAGCTGGTAAACTTAGGAGAAGGAAAAACACATGCAGGAAATAACTAAGCCAAAATACCAATAAAAGATAAATACGAAAGGGACCTTCAAGATGGTACAACTAGTTAGATTGTGAAGCCAGGTGATAAATGCTTTTGATTTTCAGAGGAGTGAATCTGTGTATGGAGAATTGGGAGGAATTTAGGTTTGCCAAGGCTGCAAACCTAAATTTATGGAGGTGGGGCTTTACCCAGGCCTCATGGATGGATAGGATGGAGAAGGATGGTCAGAAGAGGGGGAAAGGCTTAGCACAGTGAGCAGACCCAGTGTCAGAAGTTGTTCTTGGCATTGCAAAATAGCAAGCCTTCAGGAAGCCAAGAGAGTTCTGTAGCATGGCTCTGAATATTTCAATAAGAAAACTATAAAGTTTTCTGTCTGGTTTTAAAAGTGAATAGACTGACTTTTATGCTTATAAAGCAAACACGGAGTTCTAGTCATCATTATTCATATCTTTTATGACTGCCATTATTTTATATCTTTTATCTTTTAGTTTGAAAGTGGCTTCTTTACCTCTTTAAATATTTGCAGCAACTAGAATGTGGTTTCACATGGAAAAATGAACTGTCATCGTGAGAAGTGAGGCCAAAAAGGTTGGGATTTCCCTCTGCTATTAAAATGCTCAGGCTTCTGGAATTTCTTTGCAAATGCCAATTTTTAGTGCCTTGAGTGAAATGGGTGGAGGTTGAAGGATAGGAAATGGAATTGAAAGATCTTTGTGACAAATCTTGGGAAATGTCACTCTAATGTGATGGAGTGCTTCACAGTTTACATTGTGGGTGTGTGTTTAATTTTTTGAAAGATTTGTTCCCAATTATGTTTTCCATTATAATAGGGAAGCAGCAGACATCCCATTTAAAAAAAAAAAAAAAGTAGCCAGTTCAACATGACTGGCTCCACAAAGGATTAAATTGATGGTGTACCTTTACGTAGCAGCTGCTAACTATTGCAGCTTTGGCCAAGGGAATGCACACACCCTATGAATCTTGAGGAACCAGACACTTCCTGCTCAGTCAAGGGTTTGAATTTGTTGCCTGTTGAGATAACAGCTCTCATGAAGGTTGACAACCCACATCTCTGCCAAGGTATTTTTTTCAAGGGAGTTTTTTTAGTCATTTATAATATGTTTTTACACATGCCTGAGCCTCCCTCTCTCCCACACAAAAAAATATGGGAGTATTTCAAATCCAAGTCTCTCTGTAGACAGAGGAACCTTAGCCAAATGCATTGTGTTAGACGTAATATTAAAATCTATCAATGATGACCCCATTGGGTGGAGGCAGGAGACTCCAGTAAAGTTCTGGAGAGAGATTCAGTCAGGTTCAGGCCATGCAGCATATTTTCCAGGTCCTGTCAGCCCTTTTTAAATGGAGGGCCTGAATGCTGACTGATTTCACCTTGTATTAGCTGGCTGGCGCTGCCACAACACGGTATCACAAACTGGGTGGCCCAAGCAACAGAGATTTATTGTAATCTCATTTCTGAGGCTGGAGCTGTGATCTGGGTATTGGCAGGGAGGGTTCCTTGTGAGACTGTCGGGGAGAATCTCTCCCTGACCTTCTTCTGCATCCTGGTGGTTTGCTGGTGATCTTTGGCTGGGAGACCCCAGTCTTTATTTTCACATGACAT